ACCCCTTGCTGCATGGTGTAGCACCTTCAGAACATGGGCTGATGGCACACCAGCATTCAGAATTCAGCATCAGTCCTCCTTGCCAAGGACTCATCCACTGCCAGATCATCCCCCAGGTGCCAGCAAACAAGTCCTGGTTTAAAACTCTGCCCGTGCTTGCTGGCCAGTTTCTCCTGATGCTGAGTAGGATATGCAAACACAAAGCTTGTGCCTTGGTCCCAGGGCATGGTTTGCAGTCAGGGCCTGAGGAATGAGGACAGGCTCACGTCCTACTTCTTACAGATTTGTTCAAAGTAGGATTCCTTTTTTTATAGTAAGTGCTTGTGAGATACAGTGTCATAATATTTGCATATGCTTCTCTGATGTATTTCTCATGTATACAGCGTGGCCTTTAGGACAAGGGAATGTTTTAGAGACTTGTTTGATGGGTTGTGATTCAGCTGGTATTTTCCTGGGGAAATTCTGGGAGATCCACTTAATCCCTGCATTAGTACGACCAAATCTACTAATTGTTGAAGTTACAATAGCAATTTAACAAACCCATCAAAAAGCCTGGAGACTGGTTTTGTGGACTTAACCTTTTCTGATCATTTTAACTTTTGTGGCCATTCAGAATGGTTGTATGTGACCTGAAAATGTCAGCAGGAAGGGCTGTGGATATGTGATGCTCTTCCCTCTCTGGCTGCCTGGCTCATGTGGGCGGGCAGCACAGGAACCAGGCAGTGTGAGGGACAAGTGTTCCACTTGGTCTGGAGAGGAGAATGGGCTAAAACTAACTCATCAGTAAAGACTCAATTTGGCTTGGAAAGTTTCTGCATAGATAAGTTTGATTTGCATCTACAACTGGGTTTAAATTTGACATTGCTGTATCCTGCTCTCCCGTGCTGTCCATATATTTAAAGTACCTATGCCTGGAGAATGTTGCGTACTTAAGAATGGCATTTAAAGAAATCAGATTTAAGTGATTGCACTTTTCTAGCCAATACAGAAGACTAAGAAGAGATGCAAGTTTGGGCTGCTGGGAGGTTTCTGTATCTGCTTGGAATTATCATGGCTCTGTTGCAGATACTGACCTGACTCAGTCTGCTTTTCTTCTTAGATAAATGCAAAAGTATTTACTCCATATTGGTCCTAAGTAGGAGGCTTTCCCTTGGGATTTGGATAGTTAGATCTCAGACGTTACTTCTGACCAATTTTGAGCAAGGAATTTTGGTGTCCTGCAGCTTAGATGGTTATCCTAAATGTTGGATTCTTTGGTACTGTCAAAAATATGGAAGCAGAAAAGCAGAAAAGAAAACATTTTGGTTTTGTCTGATCTCTGGGTGGGCAGACAAGGTAGTTGTATTAAAGGTGGACAGTGACTGTACATGGATCCATGTACATGATCCATGGATGCCCCCTCAGGCACTCAGACTGAAGGAGCTGGGGGGCTCTTGCACATGCAGCTTGGCAGTGACTTGCAAGGGCAATAATCCTCTGCAGATGGAATGAACAAATGGGAGTAACATTGGTTATGGGTAGTTTTTGGCAATATACCTGGATTGGGGAGAGAAGAGTTACTCACAGCCTCTTAAAAATACCAGAAAAAATTCTAACAGTTAAACAGGAAAGAGATAATCTGATTTGGGAACTTTGTTAAGTCTAAGGAATGAGTTTCATGAAGTGTTATGTTGTCAGGATTGGGTTGTGTGAACACCTGCCAGCAGAAAATTAAGTATTTAGAGCTTTTCATGTGCCATGGTAGGTGTGTGATGTCTGCATCACAAATGATTCATTGGTGCATTGCTTGCAGTCAGAGGCTAGAAATCAAGAAGCGGCACATTTTAAACAACAAACCTCCATAAACAGGTCCTTGGCTTCTCCCTCCCCTGTTCATCACTAATGCTGCAAGAGGCACCTGAGACACCTTCAGCCTCAGAGTGACCCAACTGCAGCAGAAGGATGTCACCTCAAAGTATGGCTATTACTGGAATTTTTTAAATCACAAATTGAAAAAGCACACATAGTCTTTCCCCAGCTCATTACATCTGGTTATTTACTATAATGATGTTCCTGAGAGATTCCTGGAATGAAAAGATATAAATGAGGTGGGTCAGGCAGAAGATAGCTTGTTTTGGTTTGTTTTCTCTACACCATACCCTGTGGTACTGGCTTTGATTTTAAATGAATCCAAACCCCAAACATCTTTAACTCACTAAAAGGAAAGTCTTTACAATCAACTGCCTAGATTATTTTCAGCTGAAAAGGGCCAGTTAACTACAAAAAGGAGTTTTCCCCAGAGTTCAAATGTGGTTAAGTTTCAGCCATACTCTTGAATTAAAATGGATTTGGTCAAAGAAAAAAGAGCACTTGAAATTTTAAACCTTAACTGTGGAATTCTAAATTCAAGCATCATTTCATGTATGAAGATGAACTTGAAGGCCTCATTTTTCTTTAAAAAACCAAAAGGATTAAAATTTGGTTATTAGGCCTTTTTACCTAATGTTACTTCAGGCTGACATAGTTGATCAGCAGAAGCCCTTCTGTGGGAATTCTGTATCCTCAGCAATTTCTGGCTACTCAAAAGGATTTAGGGGTATTTGCAAGTTTAAAAATTAAAACCCCTTAACCAAAATGGAAACACCTACAGGAGGGGTTTTACTGGGTTTGTGGTGTTACTTTAAGTCATACCTTCAGTTGAGCTTATTTGCTAGATACACACACTTTCTGAGATTAAGTGGATTGTTGGCATTAATTCCAGTGTGGAAATGAGAAGACTGGTGCACTGTAATACAATTTTAAATACTAAAATCCACAAGCATTATGTTATATTTCCACATAATAGAAAAATGCTGTCTCCCACTTGTAGTTTTTCATGTAGATAGTGGAGCTGACAAGTTATTCTAAATCAAATTTATATTTTTCAAGCACCACAAAGTTAGTCCAGAAATAAAGCTGTTTAGTGCACTATAGCTATAAAGGCATTTACATACAGCATTATATTGCTTGTAGTCAAGTGCCTCCTGAATGTGTAACCAAGAGAAGAGTGTTCCAAGACACAGAAACATCACTTAAATTTGCATGAAAATGTGTTAACTTTTTCTTACATGAGGTATTATCTAGTACCAGTTGCTGCTTGAATTCTGTCAATGAATGTCAGGGGTATTGCATGAGATAGGAGATGATGATGGAACTGAATAGAAAATGGGAAAACCTGTCTTGGTCGTGACCATTTTATTGTGGAAAGTGTTTGCTGGCTCTCAGCAGGAGGGAGGGCCCGAGGGTTGAAGCAGCTGAGGATAAGCACTGCCATGAGCCCAGTGAGAGCTCTGTGGTTTGTTAATATTCTGAACCCCCTTGTTAGGCACAATTGCAGCAGCTGCATTTACCTGTTTTGTGGTTTTTGTGTCTTTTTTAAATATGGCAGCTAAGATCACCTGGAATGATTGAAAAGTTTGCCTGAGATCATACACAGGTGACTGTGGCTGGATCAAGTCCCAAATTTTCCTAGTTCTCAGGCTTTAGTGTGGCCACAAGACTGCAGTGCTTCAGTTGAGCTTCATCTGCAACTGGTACTTGGCACAAAGAAGCCCAAGGAAAGAATTTACTTTTGAAGTCTCTTCTAAATGTTCTAACTTGTTTTGTCCTTTGTATTCAACTGGTCCAGGAAAAATAACTTTTGAAAGCTTAGTTCAACTGTCAAATAAATGTTATGTGCACCCATATTTTTTATGCTTTATTTTTAAATTTGATAGTTTGATGTTTGCCAGAAAGCAAGCAGCTGTGCAGGCTGCAGCTTTGAAGGGCACAGACATCAATGGAGGAAGGGTGTCACTGGAGATCTTCCCCCTGTAAAGCAGAAAGCCCACTGACTGCTAATAAAATACATTCCATTTCTGGGCTGGAAGCCTTTTTTTGCCAGGTTCTTATAGTTCAAAGTGCTGCTCTTTAGGAACTGTTTAGTGTTTTGCTGTTTTTTCTTTTTACACCAATCTTGAGTGGGGATTGTGTGTAAAAGTTAAATGTGTCCCTAATGTATTGTTGGGGAGTGGCAGGTATAACTACTTTGGAAGATATTTTCCTCTTAGAGAATTCCTTAGGCTCATGCATATATAAGTTACCTTTGATCTGTCCCTTCCAATGAAAGCTTACTGATAGGGCAGTTTTAAAAAAACAATGGGTTTTTTAAGAATGAAAGTGATGGGCTGTTTAAATGAAATGTCAATCATGAAGCTGACAATTCCATGGTAATATGTGTGAAGTACCTGTTCCCTTCTCCTCCCCTTTCAAAAGTGAGCCGCTTGGCTCAATGCACTGACTCTCTCAGCAAGAGTATTTTTTTGTATCTGTAAAGCTTTTCTGGTATGGAGGTAGTGTTACAGATTCGGTGGAAGTGAGGGGGTGTAAAGCCCTCAGTCTGCTGTTGCCTGCGAGCCATGAGCGGCACAGAATGGTCTGAACAGTCTTGCCCCAAGGGCAAATACCACAGCAGGCATTTTAGTTTGTGCATTTGCTATTCATGTCTGTAAAACAGATAGCTCAGTCAAGAGCCATACCTACATACTGGTGCTGCCCTCAGGTACTCCTCACCTGCAGGAGTTTGAACTAACTGTGAGAAGTTTCTCTCTGGACGCTTCAGTTTGTAATCAGCATACAGGTGGTGCTTGTCTACGTGTCCCAGTTCGACCTGTCCTGTGAGCAGCCAGCCCTGGGCTAACTCCTGCACACGGCCAGGCAGCTCTTGAGCTGGAGCCTCATTTTCTCTTTGTAGCTCAGACTTGGTGCTTTTGGATCTTGCTGGCCTGAGTGAGTGCAGGTTTGGCTGTAGAAGATGAAGTGGACGCAGGCCAGGCTGTGAGAGTGACGCTGCCAGCATCAGGGGGAGCTGCTGCCATTGCTCAGGCGAGCAGCAGCACAAGCTGCCTCATCCCCAGTGCAGGAACAGCCAGGACAGCCAGGACAGCTGAGACACGGGGCAACCCCTACCACAGTGGGAAAACTGGAAAGTTCAGGAACAGCCAGGACAGCCAGGACAGCTGAGACACGGGGCAACCCCTACACACAGTGGGAAAACTGGAAAGAGTCACCTCGTGAAAAATAGTTAACTTAGAGGCTAGGCCAAGTCCTGGGCACTGGAACACCATGGGAAGAGCACATTTACAGTGTATTTTGCATTGATATTCGAGGTTTTGGGTTTTTTTAAAGGTCTTTGTGATTGGATGAGATGTTAGCTATGGAAAACACACAGCCTCCTGCTGCAAGTCTAACAGTTCACATGGGATATGTGTTGGGTAACTTGAGCCACAGATCATTTTACATGGTTTGATACAACTTCCAAAGGTGCATCAAGGTGAGTGCAACTGAAGTTACTGATAAGAAAGCCTGTCAGAATCCAAGCTGACCAGAATGCAAAACATGAAATGATGTATTGTTGAATTTTTTTTTCCTAAGAACCTCAGCCAATGACTTTAAAAGTTATGTGAGCTGCCCACCCCAAATTTGAAAAGACTGCCTCAAAAACACACTGCCTGAGATCCTTAACATGGTGGGAGGCCTTTTTTAAAAAAAAACAAGACATGCTCTGACATCAAAGGGATTATATAAAGTTAGAACAGTAAAGGAGAAGCTACACTAAATACGCTGTAATCTAGAAATACAGTTTTTTAACTTAATTTCCTTGAAAAAAGCTGGTGCAGAGAATACTGGTTTTTTTCCTGACTGTTTTAATAATGGCTAAGAATAATCACTTATAATAAATTAGACCTGCAATATAAATGAACATATGAACCTTTTATACTAATGTTTCTTGTTACTTTTAGAGTATCTAAAATGGATATAAACTATTTCAAGATTCATTTAATCACTTGCAATTTATATTACTTTAAGAATCCTCTATACAGCAAGTTGAACAGAAAAAAGCAAACATTTTAACAGCCCCTTTTCCCTATAACCACTTTCATACAAGATAGTTTTAAATAATGATTTTAGCACATTTGTGTGTGCTCTCTCCCCCTTTTTCTGAAGGTAGCACAGCCAAAAGACAACACAAGAATTGGCTTTTACTGACTGAACTGTTTTCTTCTCCATCTGAAAAAGACAAGGGGAAGACAAAGCCTTGAGTCCCAAAATGGAAAAGATGATCTTAAGGTTTACTTTGCCAAATCTCCAGGGACTTTGTTCTTTTCCTCATTTATAGTTTATAAAACCCACTTTGCTCTGTCTCTGCATGTCACTCTGTGTTCAGTTACACAATTCTTCAATTTCATCTATGGATAAACTTGTTTTGAAGCTTCCATTTTGGTTCACCAAACACAGTGCAAACCAAGGCAAGCAACCAGTAAAATCCAAACAGGAACTCCCATTAAGAATATTTGAGCAGCATTTTGTATATTCCATTTTCTACTGTCCTCATTCTGGGGAGGAAGAATCCTCATCTTCATCCTCTTCATCTTCCTCGTTGAAGGAGCAGGGTGTCTCCCCCCGGGACGCTGCACTGCTGGACTGCTGACTGCTAGGGGCAAGCAGCTGCCCAGTTGCTAAGGCCACTTCAGCATCCAAACACAACCCTGGATTCTCACTAGCAAGACAACAGAAAGGGTGAAGTTTAGAGGGTTTCTCATGAGGTTTTAAGGTTTTTCTTTTTGGCCTCAGCTTTTCCTTTAGTTGAAGAAATGCTACCAACAAGGAAAAATCCCAAAGTGTCACAGTAAACAGCTATTAGTTAGGAGAGTTGATGAAACATTGGAAAGTCGCATAAAAAAGAATATTGGGTGACTTCCTTTTTTTTTTTTTTTTCCATAATCTAGTAGAATTGCTTAAGCTGAAGAAAAATAAAAGGAAATCCACCACAGTTTCATTACTACACAGAAATTTTGCAATATAAAATGAAGCTGTTAATTGCTATGAGAAGGAGCCTGCTCCAAAATAATAATCCCTATAATAATCCCTATTTCCATTTTTTATGGTACAGGTACCCTCCAAGCAAAGTCTGGCTGATTAGATGTATTTAAGGTTGGGGTTTTGTGCATGGTGTTTTTTTGTTTGGTTGTTGGTTTTTAATTTTAAATTCTTAAGTTGTGTGAACTAAACTTCTTTCATGAGAGCTTAAATTGCAGTGCATTTAAAGCAGACATTGTTATGCATTCTTCAGAAAAATTACCAGGCTTTTATCCACATGTAATTATCTATCTGTAGTCCATGCCCAGGCAGGAATTTAAGGTTAATCAGGAAAAGGGGCTTTAAAGTGATTCTATTCTTATGAAACATAGATACAAAATAGCTGGCATGTTCAATGTTCAAAGCATGTTGATTTGACCTTTCAAATATAATTTTCCTTCAAGCAAGACAGAGACTTTTTCACAATCAAAATCAGCCATGATAATATCTCCATTCCTGCATGCAAATGATATGAAATAGCAGGGTTACTGAAGTACCACAAGCATATATAACTATTCTTGAATAAAAAAAAAAATATTTTATTTACCTTGATTTAGCATTGTAAGTGCCTCCAGCTGCCTCGAAATGGGAAACTGCTTGTGCTGAACTTGAAAGTAACCCTTGGTTTATCCATGAAAATCCTGCAGACATATCTAGGAAAAAGCATAACTATTTATGATAGTTACTTACATTTTTAAACTTTGCATTCTCTTTGCAGTTAGGATCCCTTAATTTAGGTTAGAAGGTACCAGTAGCTTGAATTTTATACTGTAGATGTATCCTGTTTAATCAAGATGAAATGATATCCTGTGTTTGTAGGTACACTTAAGCCTTGCACTCAGCTTTTCCCTGTCTCTGAAGAAGATTCACCTGGCTGGTGGCTGTATGCATTCACAGGTATCTGAAATGAGTTCTGGAGTCCTTCATGGAAACTTACTGCCACAGCCTGATCCTGTGAAATGCCCAGACAGCACCAAGTGCCTTGGCTGCCCCAGCTGATGAAGGTACAAAAGGAATGGTATTTATTTGGGTTTGAGATAGTGCAGTGAAGCCACCCAGGCAGCCCGTGTGTTGCTGTGTGTGTTCCAGTGGCCAAAGGCAGTTTCAGCCTGGTGCTCTCATGGCTGCCTGTGGGGCAGCCTCCTCACCCACCCTCCCCCAGGCAGAGCTGGGCAGCAGCTGTGAACATGCACAGACCATGGCAAAGGGCTGGTGCCAAGAATGGAAGAGAGAGCCTGTTGTACACTGCACATGAGACACAAAAGGCCCTCTCCTCCCTAGGGATAGGAAATGGGAGGGTTAAGACCATTCAAATGGTCTGGCAATAATGCCAAATTTCTTTAGGTACTTTGTTAAAAGCCCCCTGAGAGATGTGAAGAGGCTGCTTACAACCCCCACAGTACTTGTTTTCAAATTCCCTAACAAGTTATGCCTGTCAGGTGTTGCCAGTTATGCACATTTCTGCCAAGAAAATCACCAAACCAAGTCTATTGACCCAATTACATTTATGGGATTTTTTTTGTTTTTGGTGTGTGTGTTTTTAATTTGTTTCTTAGATAAGGAATTTCTATTCACCTACCCAAATTCTATCTCGATACAAAGTTGACATCAAAACAAAGTTACCAAGACTGTCTAGTTCTTTTCCATGGTACTTGCATGTGGTTCCAGCTGGATGCATTAAATCAGAAGTTAGAGTCCTTACTGTTAAATTCTCTGCCTAACCAATCCGCTGTTTTAGACAGCACAGTGGCACTAACTGGGACTGTACTACTCATAATTATCTAGAATTGTTCTGCAACAGCAGGTAAGAGGAATAACTGTGTTTGTTACATACACATTCTCATTTGTCTTTCTGTGTCCTTGTCAAGCTTTGGTTCCTCTGGATTTGGCAGTGCTGCCTAGCACAGGGACTGTTTTAAGCAGGTTGACACAGCCATGTAAATTGGCTCACCATCCACTGGGATGGATCCACAGGCTACTTTGGTTTGTGCTATGGAAAGCTATTGCAGCAAGTAATGAAATGTCATGGTACAAAGCAAGGCTCGCAAGGGTGGTTCTTGGCAGCAGTCCTGGGACATTACAGCAAACCTTGATAAGTGGCAGTTTTAGGGTGATCTCTGAGGACAGAATAGATAAGAACAGTTAAATGTGGATGGAGCTCCATGTCTTTCATCAAGATTGCCCTAAATGCAGGTTTCATGTTACAGAGAACATGTTCTCACAGCTTCCTCCTGTCTGTGCAGGAGGAGGCTAAACCGTTTGGAATGACTGCATTGTATTTAGACTAATAGAGCTGTACCATAGTGTCGTTCCCAGGTGTTTTGAAGGAGTGTACCTGTGTGTACATGTTTAATATTTCAGAAGAATAACAAGACACTGCTAGTAATCTTGTGGTTTATAAACTGGATAATAGCTCATTAATTTTCTTTTTGAAGAGCAAAGTAGAAGCATGGCAAAAAGGTGTTTTATAAAAGCATATCCCTGCCTTGTATTTTCATTGCCTTATATTTCCAAATATAATACATATTTCAATAATATAATATATATTTCAATTTTCCACTGGTCTCTGAGGAGCAAGGGATAAGAAGTTTGTGAAAGATGGGGAGCTGAAGCCATGTATGGTAAAAAATGTCAAAACAGAAGTGTGCCTACAATGAAAAGACATTTCTTCTGGCAATGTAGGTCAATTACTAATAGCTACACTTAAAACCAGGGAAAGAAGTCTGAGAAAACTTTCCCATGGTGGTGCAGTCCAATCTAGTAGTGGCATTGTTATGTACTAGGCATGTCTTGTAGCAGATACAGATTTCTTGGTAGAAATATATACGTTATTTGAGAGGGCTCTAAAGCAACACCCTCAGCAATAGCTTTAGCAGTTAATGCACAAATGCTGCATGGGAGTGTTGTTGACATCTGAACAAACTCGCTCAGGCAGTGGGTGCTCTTAGCTCTTTAGTTCCATCTCCAGCCCATTTTCTAGTCATGGCTAATTACACAGGTAAAGAGCAGAGCACTTCTTCACACAGGGAAAAAAGCCAAGTCCTAAACTGGACCGCTTTGCTCACTGCCTTAGTGGGATACATAAGGTGAGATGTTGTTACCCCAACTGTTAGTGCCTCAGAAATATTATTTCCTGCAGATTTTTAAAAATCTGCACCTTCATTTCTAGTAGTCACAATTCAAATAACAAAGGTGGGACTTGGTTTTGTGTTAAGTGCCTGTAGGATGTGCACAGCCCAAAAAAGAGAAATGTTGCTCCGGCTGCTGTTCTGCGAGTTTACGCTTGTCCCAGGCAGTGAAGTGTTTCTGCTCACCCAGCAACCTCACTCCCACCTTTCCACTTGAGCTGTTCTGCTTGGAGCCCTTTGCTGCACAGTTCTACTTGTTCAGTTGTTGCAAACTCATCTGCCAGACAAAGCCTGCAGTTTAGTACCAGGAACTATCTCAGGGAGAGCACATGGGAAAGCACCTGAGTCAAAATGCAGAAATGGGCACGAATGTATAATTAGGATTGTGTTCTTGGGATGCCCTCTTAAGCTGGGGCAAGTGTCATGTTTTAGACATTGTCAGTTATGACAGTCAAGCAACAGGAAAGTGTGTTAGAAAAAAATGTACGATACACAGAATCTTTTTGTCTAGGAGGTCAATATGCCTTAGCTTCTGCTGATTTCAGTCTCTCTCTCTCTACCCCATTAATTGGGTAACACTTCCTTTACAGATGAAGTCCCTCCAGAAACTTAAAAAAAATGCTGATTTAAGTTTAAGCTTCAGTGCAGCAAGAAGAATACACTGACAATAACCATAGGAAGTGATAGCAAATTTTGGCAGCTCTAGTCCAGTGATGGACTGAAGGAGTTCTAGTCTTGCACGAGCTGTTCAAACAGGGGAGGTAAAAGCCTCTGCCTGGAACACCTGTCCTGAAGTCTTTGGACTTGCTTTATTTAGAGAAGCTTAGTTCTCAGGTGGCACCTGCTGGCTTCTGAGGGATTACACCCGACCAGTTCAAGATGCTCTTTTTCTTTCCTTTTCCTCAGCTTGGGAAGAGCTGCCTTATTCCAGTTTGCACTTCCATACATTCAGTTACACAAAATTAATACTAACACATGAAAATTTGTTCTTGGTGTCAACTTAGTTATCTAAGAAATAATTTCTTCATAATGCAGCTCACACATCACACTGTTATAAATCAGTGTGCATTAAGTCAACAGGACAACTAAGATAATTCCAAAATTAACAGTAAAACGACTGGTTCATGTACCAACCCTACTAATTCCCACAAACCCTGAAATTTGCATATGTAAGTTAATATAATTAAATTTGCTTCAGTTAAGTAAGGTTATAGATTTGATCAGGAACAATATTTAACTTACCTGTGATGTAGCCTTCTAAAGCTTTTGGCACCAGTGATTTTGCAGTTCTTAGGTCCTCAGCTGAGCATTTGCCTGCTTCGAGCCCAAAGGACATTCCCATTCTCTTCAGCACCTCGCTGTCATCATGAATCTCAAAAGTATTATCGAAATTAAAGAGGTATTCAAATCTGCATATAAAAAATTAAAAGTGAGATGATTCTGAAAAGAGCACAGCTGAGCTCTTCTTGCCTGTTCTTTCTCTGGTGGTTTTGGCATGTACTAAGGGTTAGCATCTGGAGTCCTGGTTTTCTGTAAAGGGTCCTTAAGGAAAGAGAAGTGCAATAAATGCTTTTTCTCTTTTCTATGACTGGCATGCCTAGAGGTTTAAAATGGCACATTCTCAATTAAAATAACTTCACCAGTGCAGGAACAAAGTTTAAAATTTTCTACCTCATTAAGTAGATTCAGAGGGGAAGAGGGAGGCCTTAATTAAACATGAACCTTCACCCAATAAGGTCACCTGAAGCCCTGTCACTAAAATAACTATTTTGTTTTTCTGCTTTTACATTTCACTTTCTGTTCTAATGTGCAACTCTCCTCCTGTGAACTGACCTATTTACTCTGGTATAATTTTCCTTCTTTGGATGCAGCTAGAAAAGCAGTCTGTTCAGAGTCTTGTGTGTTCACAACTCACCATTTCTGCTGCAGGACCCTCAAAATGTTTTTAACCACATATAGAAGTGGAAATTGAGATATAAACTTCAGACAGCTTTAAGAAATGCAGGGCCATTTAGGCTGGCCTTACACTGTCATCACAGGTATTAAAAGCCTGGACAGTTCTGGTCTGTAAAATAAAGCTTAGTTTCCAGTACCTCCTTTCCTGCTGACAAAATTTTTATCCTTGGAAAAGCAACTCATCTGTGAGATACAGTCTTTAAAAGATAACTGACTGGTGGGTCTTCCATTATCTCTCCAAGCTCTTGTCACATGTCATTTTTCTTGCTAGGTTGTTTTCTAATCTTATTTTCTTATATCTGAACCAGGAAACTTGGAAGCTTTACAGCTCTTGAGTTTATACACAGAATTTTTAATTTGTAATCTAATGCTTTGTGCTGGGTGAAATTGTCAGTTACACACAGCATTTCTTCTGTGACTCATACCATATTACTTGTAAAACCTATTGTTTATGTACCTTTATTTATTTCAGCATAATCACATTAAGAGGGAAAATAAGATGTGTTGTTATAATTTCAACCAGTACAATTACATTGCTGCTGCCTAAACTGGCACAGCTCAGTGCCATACCGAGCTACTACCAGCAAGCTGTAATTACTGACTCGTAACTGAATTCCAATTTATGGCACAGGACCAAAAGCTGCATTTATTGATAGCTCTGCAATTCTCCCATGTGTTGTGGCCAAATACTGGATATTAGAAAGAAAGGTAACTTATTGTCCTTTCCCAGCAAGTTTCCAAATTGAGAAATTTACAGTCTCCAGTATTTTTTCAGTTTAGTTTCTAGCAGCCTGCAGTCACTGATACAAGAAATCCCTACACTTCTATTTTGCTGTTAACAGCTTTTTGAGGATTTTCTTTCAGGCACTCGACATGACCCCCTTCTGAACTTATGTAAACTTTTAGCGTGAACAAAATAAACTATTACTACTTGCATAGAGCGTTACAAAACCCTTCTTTTTGTCATCACCTGGTATCTTCTCTTAATGTCTCTCAATTTAATAAACACCTATGTGTAGCTACTGTCTATACATGTTCTGCATATCACTCAAGATTTTTGAGACACCTGGGAAGCCACTGTCCTCTCCTTTCTAGGCCAAAGAGCCCATCTGTTCTGTCTGTCAAAGCCCTTCCACAGCCTCAGTCCTTCTTGCTGCCCTCCTGTGTCTCTCTTGGTTATGCCATAATTTTTCCAAGAACATGAGAGTGTGTAGTATTCCAGATATAAAGCACTAGATGTATCTAGCTTTACATTGTAGTCCTTGCTGGTTTTCCTAGTAATTCCCAGCATGATTTCAGCTGTTACTGAGAAATCAACTTTATTTCTCACAGGAATCACCTGCTGGGCTACCATGTTATTACTCACTACTACAAGCCAGGGCCAGAGGCTATTGATACTGTGTATGCAAAGTTTGGGTACACTTTCAGTCCCTTTCCCATGCTAAGTGCAAATTTGATCACCAGTGATTTTAATCGGGATTTTCTGCTGCCACAGGCAATTCTTTCTGTAAGGGTACAAGAGGCCACTTCCTACATGTTCTTGCTAATATACAGCATTGTATCTCCAGTGCTGTACAAAATCTTGTGCATTTCCCCTTAGAGATGTTCTAATTTTCCAAGTTTCTGATACATCTATTGTGCCTGAATGCTTGTTTAAAACAAGGTATTCTGGTTACTTTTTCTTTTTCCTAGGACCAACAGCATTTATACAGAAGTACCATATACACTAAATATATTTTTAAATATATTTAGTGTATATGGTACTTCTGTATAAATGCTAAAATAAATATGGTACTTCTGTATAAATGCTAAAAATATTAAATATATTTTTCCTGTTTAAATGGGACTTATTCAGCTGCCTCATCTTTAAAATTAGTTCTTAACTACTTCCTTTTTACCTGAAGACTTTGCTTTTCCTACTCCAACTTCAGAAATGTTATTCCCAGCATGCTTCTTGGCACCCATCTACCTTCTCAAACCCTAAACAAAACTTGCCCAATAACTTATCTTTTTTTTTTTTTTTTTTTTATTTGTGAGACATTTCACTCTGTTTTGGCTGTTCATGCATAGGAAAACAGGAGAAAAACCTATTTTCCTTCTGATACTATATCACCCTTATATGTATGACATTTTCAAGCAATTACTTTCCTTTAGAAGTTCCTCTGTAAATTCAGTTTTGAGTAGCTAATGCTGTGAGCTTAGCTCTTCATTGGACTTACTAACATCAGTACTTTATATAAATGTTGTTTGGAGAAGAAAATGGACACCCCTTAAAAAGTGGCTTTCTGTCTGGAATCAAGTGCAGAGCAAGCCTCAAGCTGAGCAGTGATGGAGTCAGGCAGCAGAAATACCCTCCAATTAACTCCAGACTGGGACTTCTCCAAACCAAGTCACCACCTTTGCTAACTGCCTTATTTAGCAGATCAGTGTAACAGTGGTTAAAACAGAGCAGTTTCTGGCACTGTTTACCCATTACTGCTGCCACCAATTAGTTGCACAAATAATAACCCCAGTGGAAAGCTGGCTTAATTTGGGTTGTACACTTAATGACCTCCAGGTGACATACTACCACAGCTGAGTTATATAAATTAAAGTATCAACAACTTCAATGATTTTGGTGTGCTCACTTTAGTAAGAGTGTTTTCACACAGCTGGAGAGCACAGATGCATGTTACACTGCTCTGGATCCCAAATGCCAGATTAATCTCTGACAACTCAAAGCAGCAGTTCTGAAGTTTTAGTATGAAATTGTTCTACTTTTTAACAACTTCAAACCTAAATGGAGAGTCCTGTTTAAAAGAGCAGGAAGACCTTTATAGTGAGACTACAGAACAAGGGTATAATTATGCTAAATCAAAAATAATTTCCTAGAATTCCTAACTTCCTGAACTGCAGTTCTCATGAGAGCATTCCACAAGTTTTGTGACAGAATATATTGGACTTCAGCCTAATTTTCTACAAAAATTCAACTTTTAATAGTATTGCTGTTTTGCATGCTGGTGCATGGGTTACTAGAGTCTGTCTGTTTTTGCTGTGTGATTGACTTGAAGTTCAGTACAGGATTTGCATACCACAGAGTGAAATCTGTAAGCTACAGTATTAGAGCAAAGCCAGCTATTTTCAGCTAATAAACTGATTGTGAGCCGATTACCAATTAACGTAACAGCACCTCAAACTTCAGCCACATTTTCACAGGATGAAGAGTACAAGCACCCACAATTACCTAACTGGAAGATTTTCAGATTAAATGTGAATGCAACTGTAGCAGTTTGCTCACAAAGACAATATTACAAATTTCTGTATCTTCTCTTTCAGAGAACTTTTTGCTGTTAAAAACACTTTCAAAGTTGTTATCATCACCTGGAGTATGTTACTTTTGTGTCTCATGGGTAACGTTGTGTTTCTGCCTGTGTACATTTTTATGGCATACTAAGAGTAAGAATTCACTTGGCTGCTTTAAAAGGCAGTGCTGTCCTAGTAAATATTTTCATTCAGTTATTTTTTCTGTGTGAGGAATGCTCTTTGAAATGTCAGCTGAAGTGCCTTTTACAACCGTGAAAGTCGGCCTGTTTTAACTAGAGATTGTAAGGCAGTGTTAATAAACTCTTCCATATTATTACTGCAGTTACATTAAATATTGAAAAAAACAACAAGCAACCCCCTGAAGTGACAGTTGTGAACGTAAATAATTACTTCTAGTAAACTAGAAAAATTTCCCTCACTTGTTTGATGAAAAATTCCAGTCCAAGAAAATAAAATGATAAAAATTAATTTCATACACTCACTTATCACTTGATATGCTGCAGTCTATAACTGTTCTTTTGCTAGTGTTGACTATTAAGAAAGGCAGCTGTATTGTGGAGGTTAAAGATGGAGGGCCTTGATTTTGCTGTTCATTTTGCTGATTTCTTTGTACCAAGTTTTTAAATGCTATTTGCTGTAAAACAAAAGAAAGAAAAAATGATCACTGACAATAAAAAAGCAGACATCAGTGTTTCCAGGAAATGAAACCTCATAGGTCTTATTTACCAACTCTCAATATCTTCAGAAATTTTTTGTCAAAAAGTGAGTTGTGGCCTTACTTTCTCTTGGCACTAGTGAAGTTCACCAGGAGCAGAAGTTAAACCAAATTTTTGCACACATTTACTATTGACTGTTTCCCCTCATATTCCCTGGAGAAGAAACAAGAAAGGAGCAGTAAGGTATGCTGGAGAATGATTCCCCAATCCCTTTGAAAAGGCTCTGGAGTCAGAGGTCTTCTCTGGTACTTCTTATGTGTAACTGCCTCAGGGTAGGGGATAGCTACACTGAAACAAAAATTCCCCCACTTCCCATATCTGTATTTTTATTCTCTTTCCCTTCTCATCCATCATGTTCTTCTCTCTCTCAAAAGAATTAGTTTGGAAGTTCTCCTCTGGAAGTCATTAAGCAGATGCTGTTTGTGGCACCACTCTGCGCCTGCCGCTTTCTTGTATCTGACTGCACATGTATGAAAATGTGTGGGTTTAGGAAATGTTACCTGAGGGATTAGAAGTCAGTGTACTTACCCACCTCAGACACTGCTTATTCCATTTAAGGGGAAAAAAGATGGGTAGCCACAATCCCAAAGGATTGGTAAACCCTTTGGCAATCAGCACAATCAGGGCAATAATGACAGTTGTGGACAGTAAGGGAATCAACTCCGTTAATATTTGGACTAAAAGTTAAGAGGGCCTGAGTTGCCTGCTTTTCACTAGTGCAATTTCATGATACTGTTGGAGGAGCTACTGATGTATTGGGTCAGACAGAATCCCAGTTGTACCCTAAGCAGAGAAACAGCTTTTGATGACCAACAAAGAAACATCAGATATTTGAAAGTTTCAGTGAATATCAATTACATGAAAATTGTTTCAGTGTAGTTGAACCAGCAAAAAAATATAGCCTTATTACCTGTAATCTCATAAAATCGTTTGATTACATTTAAATTACTAAAAGTCTGCACAGACTAGAATGTTAAGAAATGCTTGTAACTATATTTATAAAATGTCACTTTCTAAACAAGATGCATTTGAAATATATTTCAGCAATTAAAGCCAAAAGTCATCTCAAAGGTATGTGACAGAAAGTAAAGGTGCTGGATTTGCCAGCCTTCCACTCTTAAGATCCAGAAATGTCTGTATTCCCCAAAACAACTCTGCACACATTTATACAAGTTCTGTTGTGAACTTCATAGCTTAGGGCAAAGAGAAAATTTGAAGAATGACTCAGGGTAGCTCTGGGGGAGCTAAGAGTCAAAAAAGGGCACTTGTGAGTTGTTCCCATTCCCACTGAGGGGGGCAAAGCTTCAGCAGAACACTTAGGAAAGCTTGTGACACACGGAGCGTGCTGGTTTACAGCAGGCAAAACTGAACCACAGAGTGTCGGCAAGAGGTTCCCCCTCCCAGAATCCAGACTGGTCACAGGGTCAAACATTTCTCCTTAGTACGTCACAGCTGTTAGTTAAATCTAGAAAGAACTTCAGAAGGCCGAACGTGTTGGATTTGCACTTGATATTTTCATTTATGGGGAAAAAAATTAAAATTAGATATACCTGCAGTAGCAGTTCTTGCAGTTGGGCTCGCTTCTGTTTTATCCTTTCAATCCGCTTCTGTTTTTCTATCTTAAAAGATAAATGTAAATGCATCAAGATACTTGGTTACCTTGTCCATTCCCTTGTGCCAAAATGAACAGCCTTTCTTTACAAATGGGGGCAAATTGCATGGGCATAAGAGTTTCTCCATTAAAAAGGTCTGGCAGACTGTAATGTCTTTCTTTGTCAACAATTTTAACTCCAGTAAGGATCTAATTGTTACAAGAGACTTTTATGTCCCCCCCATTCTGCCTCTTCTGTCTTGCACTGAGTGCAAATTGGCACCAAATCAAACACTTGCTCAAGGGGATGCTTTTTTTTTTTTTCTGTTCTGCCCTCCACTTTTTTGGAATTGTGCATGTCCCACTGTTCTCCTAGCTGCAAGCTACTAGACATAAATATATGGAGGCTGGGCTTACGATCACCTATATCTTACCCGTGACCTCCACTTTTTGTTTGACACTTGATTCAACTGACAAGACTGCAGCAACAAAAAGGGCTAGAGGTAACATTTTCTATGGGAGCACAGCTCTTGCAGCACTTCAGTTACTGCTGGCTGATGTGGCCAAGCTGCTGTACCCAGGACACGCAGGGCTGGGACAGGGCAGAGCTGACCCTGCAGGCACAGCAGTGTTTGGAAGTGTCCTCTGGGGCAATGCTGAAGAATTGGACAACAGTCATTGGGGCTGAAAGGGCTTTTTGCTCATCATCCTCTTTGGTGCCAGCACTATGTCACTGGCTCCCAAAATACTAAACTCCTAAGTAACCTTTTCATTCAAGTGCTGAAACTAAATAATATGGTCTTTTAAAACTTAGCTGGCCAAAACTCCTATCTTATTTACGAGGTTGCTTTGTGGTGGTTCCCTCCTCACACACTTTAATGTTCAACATGCATCTTTCAGTTGGCTTTCTGTGATGGGACTCTTAAAACCAGTAAGCAGTACAGATATCATTCAGGCATCGTTTCTATATAACAAGCTCTTTTTCATTGATTTTTGTGCTGGTAATCTTATTACGGATTTACATTGTAAACAGTTGCCACTTTATACAGCCTTAAAAGCAAAATTAATTCTGATTTTGACACCATGAAAATGCAGCTTTGTTATACATTCTTTTCTATTATGTCAGAGGAAGCAACATTTTTTGAAAAATATGCCTAGCTTCCATTTTGTGCATGTGTAATTAGAGCCTGAAACAGTGAATTGCATATGGTTATTGAAGATGAGATGATAAAATTCAAGTTACATATTTATAACAATAACCTATACTGGAGACAATGCATTCACATGAATGCATGCAAAATGTAGATTCATCCAGAATTAAAAAAAAACATCCTGGAGCATAATGATTGAACACATTCATTCTCCTTGGATGGATATATTTTTCAAGTTACTGTAATGGAAAAGGACAGTAAAAGCTTTTCTCTTACCACATCTAGAAAGACAATTGTTGTAAATGATCCTGCACAAAAAGAACTGTTCTGTACTGCAGAGGCACCACCCACCTTTTAAGATACCTAATGTTCAAGTGTCACAAACTGAGATGTATTTGCAGACAGCCATTACAGCATGCTGCAGTAAATACAGTGATTTGTGCTCTTTATTTATAGCACATTTGGCCTGAAGGACAGGCAACATTTGTGCATATAAATTCTGGCATCCCTGCAAAAAACACTGTAACTCTTAGAGGGCTGAAAAAATAATAACTGATAAGTAAAACTTCTTGCTTTCTCTGGCAGATCATAACTAGTATTTGACATTCCAGCAGGAATTATTTTTCAATTTAATTCCCTTTGAATTATCTTTCCAAGTACAGACATTAATAGAGAATTGGTCTCATTTTAAATGTGAACCATTTTGTGAGCATAGCTGAACCACAAATTCTTTTGACTTTCTTCTGGTTAATTCAAGGTACTACGGTCTTTAATCTTAAAAATAATCCCCGATTTAATCAATGACCATTTTTGTAAGGTACATAGCTTAGCTTTTTAAAAAAGCTAAATATAATGTATACTACATGAAACTGAACTAAGCACACACAAACATATTTTTGCAGTTTATTCCAATATCAAAATTTGTATTTCCATAGTGCACAAACATCAAAACCAATCAGGTTCAAATTAAGAAAAAAAAAATCCCTCTTCTAAAGATGAGCAAGTCAGTTACCACAACATGTGAACAAACCAGCATTTCCCATGTACCTCCCTTTACCTCTAGATTCTGACATTCCTGAGCTGAGTTTGTGGGAAGGCCGATCCATCGGATTTCCTTCTTCTCCTTTGAAATGATGTTCATTGCCATCAGGACGTTGAGGGCATCGTAAACTCTCCGTCTAATATTCTTCTGATCATAAGCCTGCTAAGAAAACAACACAACACTAATTACAACCAAAGAATTGAATTAAGAAAGGAAAACCAATTGAACACATCCTCCACAGACATGGAGAAGATCAAATGCCAAAGTGGTAGCTCTGGTCAGAGTGGTGTTAAACCACAATCCTTCATCTGTGATACCCCTTGGATACCACATGAGCATGCTTGGTTGCAAATGGAAGCTTCAGGCCTTCCTGAAGCATCTCTGCAGGAAATTCCATCATGACAAGTCTGGCACAGTTGAAAAGCCTGACAAGACCACATGTACAAGAGTAGCCTTTTCTTAAAGTTAATTATTCTGGCAGATTCCTCTACTTTGTTTAGAATTCAGAGGGAGTTCAGTTCTTCATCTTAATTCTACACTTTTAGATTTCAAAGGTTAAGTCTTTATATTTGAGAACTAGTTAAGTGAAGGAGAGTATGGACTGTGGCAGGACAGTGCAGAAACAGAATTCCACGTTAAAACAGACAAATCTCTATTGGTATAACAAAATTCACCACATATATTCTTACTGAATCAGTTGCTAGGTGGCTGTTAGAATTTGTGAATTCTGATACGAGCTCATCAGCGACTTCATTGTATGAAGTTGTTCCTTTACGTTGAACTTTTTCACAAACTTTCATTGAAAAGTGCCTCAGACCCTTCCCATTTTTATCTCCTTTCTTGCTTCTCTTACTGAAAAGAGAAAAGTATTATTTTAATACATTGATTGTTAATAAACTACTTTGTTACACAGCAAAAGGTCTGCATTTTGTAACAGAAATCTGGACTATCTAAATGAAAATAAAAGTTTTGCATCAATTTCTTGTTTCTTACAAGTTGGCAAAAAAGTGGACCAGAGCCCCTTCCCCTTCTTTGACTATTTCCAAATTGGTAGCATTTGAGCACATGCTGCTGGGAAGATGCTTAAAATTGATTTGTAATTCATATCCAGGTAGTCTCACAAAAGAACAACCAAAAAAATGATGAAAATCTCCTGGGGTGCTTATGTATCTGGAAGTCACGTTTTTGTGAAGCTCTCATGTGTGTGCCTAAAATAGAAAGGGTCAGACATCCCTATGTAATATACAGCAGGAGACACCAAACTTGGTCATTAGGGGAATTAAGGTGTGTCCATCATAGAATATATCCACATATATACATCATAGTATATACACACACACACATATATATATATATACACACATCATAGTATATATACATATATGTACATCTATTCTATGAGGTATCCATCATAGAACAGATACAAGAATCTCTTTTATGGAGAGTAAGTACATAGTCATTGGGTTTTAAGGTGCCAAATTAAGAACTGGCAAACTGTCAGGGTTATTTTCCATTCACCTTCTTCCAGAAAAGATAATGGTAATAGAAAAAAACAGGAGCAGTTGTTTTTATCACACAAACTAGATCTGGATGTGTAATTCAATAAAGCCTTTAAAAAGTTCAGCTGTTTTGTTTTTGTTTCTTTTTTCTTTTTTCTTAATTAGTCTCATGGTTTCATTTGACAATGTGTTCCAGGGAGAGCTGTTATTTTACAGAAAAAGGGCTCCTGTCAGCAGTAAAAAGCAAAAGAAACTATTAAAAAAACCAAGAATGGTTTTCAAAATTGTGAATGTATCTAAGAAAAGAGAATACAGGTAAAAGAAACAAAAAAGGGTAAAAAGGAACACCAGCAGACTAAAAAAAACCCAACACAGCTTTGATGTGAAGGAGTGAAAACTGCTGAAAGCAGGAGCTGGGCAGTTATCTTTCTGAAAGACAAATCTGAAGTAAAGCAGGTATGACTCTATACATAAAATACACACTCAGTAACACTCACCTTTCTGAAAAATCTGACTCTATAATTTCTTGAGTCCGTTTCCGCTCCCTAAGACAAGACAATTCAAACTTAAGTTGAAAGTAACATTATATCTATAGACCATAAAAATCAGTGTCTATGGGGCCTAGCTGGTTCTAGTGTTTGCTGTTGCATGTTTACTGAAAGGGAAAAATACAACACACAGAGCTTGACAAAATTTGAGGGAAGGTGGTTAGGACTTGTGGAGGAAGTTTGTGGAGCTCACTGCCAGACAAATTCTATTCCAAATTTTACCATGCTTTGTGCACAGGAATTGAGGGAAGTCACTTCACCTGGAACTACAGGAAGTGTGCTGGTGTGAGCCAGATGTCCAAAGTCCATCAAAAAGGAGAAGCTGGGCTCCTTTGAAAATTCCTATTTAAAATTCTTCCATATGGAAGAAAAATGTCTTTAAACAGTGCATAAGATATATCCTGTATTTTCAAGCCAGTGAATGTTTAGGAATCTTTAAACAAAACCCCAAGGTTAAATACTAAACGTATTCCTGTTAGAGCTGATGCATACAGAGCTGAAGACAGACTCTGAAGAAGAAGCTGCCATGAATTTTCAAAAGCAGCAGCAGGCTGCAATCACTGGCCATTCCTTATCCTCCAGGTTATTCCCACAGCAAGCAGGAGCTGCTTTCCAGCCCTGCCTTTTCCTGCGGCAGCCAACCCAAGGCAGGGCCCCAGAGCTGTGCTGAGATGGGGAACGTTGTGTCCCCGTGCTTTCCAAAGCTGGGCTCCCAGCACAGACTCACGCTGAACACCTGACACTGCTGGGAAGGAAACTAAGCAAAAATGGTGGGTTTGAAAACCTGTGCTTGAAAGCCAGCACTCTCTGGTTGTGTGATCCAGAATGCACAACCAGGCCTCTCCCTCGGCAGCACCGAAGGGATTTCTGTCCGTGGTGCTTAACGGGGCTGAGCAGCTGGGGCCAGGGCTGCCCTGGGACAGGCCTGGGCTGGCAGTGAGTGAGAGCTGTGCCCTGCTCTGCACACCAGGCTGCCAGAGCCTGTGCCAGCCCTGCCAGTGAGCGTGCTCCTCTCATTTTGGAAATAATTTGGAGTCTGTGAAGTAAACAATGGGTAAAGCAAGCAGTCTTCTGAAGTGTCTTCAGCAACAGCTCGCTACCTCAGTACAGGAATACCACAGACCCTTCCCTAAGCTCTGTTCTTCAAATGAAAATATGGCCTATTGCATGGACTTCTGCACGCATCACTATTGACTGGTCTGTCTGGAGGCATCTTGAGCCTTTTTATGGATGAAGCAAAAGATTAAGCTCATTGGAAATCCTGTGACTCAACTTGGACAGTGCACAAACAGAAGGATAGTGCTGCTTGGTGGTTGTGGTTGATGCACTGCCACAAGGCTGCTCTGGGAATCCCCACCACTGAAAAGCACATGCCATACTCCATTTAGTTGTGCAAGAACTAGAAACTGTCGGTCAGCATAGATTCAACAGTATAAATAATGGAAAAGATCAGAAAAGATGCTCAGCCATCTTTAAAGGAGACAAAAGCCTTACCCTGGGACCCAGCCGGCCGCTTCCGTTATGTGTGTCTGAGTGACCATTGCTGGAGCTGGGTTATAGGGACTCCCAATCAGAACACTCCCTGAACTGCTCAGTCTTTGTGGTGTGCTTATGATCTGTAAAATTTAGCAATAAAAACCACAGCTTTCTAAAGAAAACAGAGGTAACTGCAGCCCAAAATTCATACTAAGCATTGCATTAAGTAATAATAATAATACTGTACCAGAGGCAGTCACAGTATACAGAAGAGTATGATAATAACAATTCTGTACCAGAGCAGTCACAGTATATAGTACACAGTATATGGCATCAGATCTTCATGCAGCAAAGCCATTACAGCTTGGCTACAACTGCCAAGCTTCCTATCAGTTGTACCACATTACTGTATTATTCACAAGGACAAGAACCAGACAAATGATACCAAGTAATTCCTAGGTATGGCAGATAGGATCTGTACCTACAGACACCCAATTATTTCTTCATGAGTACATCTAGGCAACTTCTTGATCAATGTAATCAATACAGTCTTCTTTCTTTCCAATGGATTTGTCTCTTGGAATTGTCTATACAAAAGACAGTCTGAGCTGCAGGCAAAGCATTCCCTGCAGCTTCTAGCATTCACAAGATCCCAAGAGACTCTGGCAATTAATTGTACCTACAGAACTCAATGTAAAGTCTTTATGGTATAGATAGAATTTACATTTATGCAAACCTGGTGAAACTGTAGATGCACTGGTTAACACTGATACCCAGTCTCAACTTTTAAATCACATCCAAGTTCATTTTTCAAAGTAGGTTACCAGAATAATTGAAATATTATTTAAAAATGAAACAGTATTGAGAAAGCTAATCTTTAAACTAAAGCAAATTTATGGTAAGATTCAAATCAAAGCTTCTTGGACGACAGTGCTTTCTACTCCTATATCTTACCTAATACTTTAAAACTTTGTTTTACTTTACTACATTTATTATTGACCTTTTGAGTAGTGACTGTACTAAACTTTGTGATTTCCTTTACTATTTAACTTATTTAACACCCGTGTAAACATCCCAAGGCACTCAGTTAACTAACTGTTGTAAGTATATGCTGTAAGTATAGACCAGATATATAGGTACTGCAAGTGTGTATATATATATGCATATATATTTAAACTAGAGATAAGTATACAGCATTCATATGGTATTCATCACTATTGTTTAGAGAAGTAGAAAAATGTTATGTGAAGAATTCCCCATTTCCTTAGCTCACTGAGCATTACTTCACATCTGCCCTGGTACCACGTTGTGACTACGTACATGTCTTTTTTGTCTTAAAGATATAAATTTATCTCATTTATTGTTTCCAAATGTACAGCTTGACAGAACCAAGGGAAAAGAGAATTTCAGAGAAAGCAAAACACAGGTACAGGTTATGTATTTATTTCCTGCTTGGTGCTGGAGAGCCAAAGTCGCCTGGCTTTACCCACTGCAGGCAGGCACAGGAAAGGTGTCACTTCTGTCACCCGGCTGCTGCTCCGGCCTGGGGCAGAGGTGCCAAGGGCTGATGGGTGTTCTGGAGCCCGGTGACAGGAGCGCGGCTGTGGCCGGCAGGTGCCAAGGGCTGGCCGGTGACAGGAGCGCGGCTGTGGCCGGCAGGTGCCAAGGGCTGGCCGGTGACAGGAGCGCGGCTGTGGCCGGCAGGTGCCCGTGGCCCGGGGCAGCGACAGCCCGGCCCGGCCCGCGCCGCCCTCTAGCGGCACCCTGCCGCTCCTGCACCGCGGAGCCACCGCGGCACGGCCCCGGCCGCGGCCCTGCGCTGCTCTAAGGACCCGGAGCGGCCCCAGGGCCTGGAACCCACGGTGGGGAAATAAGGCCTAAATAAATAAATTAATCAAGCAGGGTGTTGCTGACACAGGCAGATGCTGAGGGAGCGCTAACATTGCCACTGCTGAGAGCTCGGGAGCACTCGCTTTTAAACAGCCTGGCACAACACACATGCATGCTGGGTGTCTTGGAAAGCCTGCGTTAATGGCTATTCATTAAGAAAATGTTTTCTGAATATAGATCTATTCTTGCAAAGCAGCAGAATAAAAGGATAAAAAATAAACAAAATAATTAGAATAAAAATGGTGTGTTTCACATCACACAGTAGCTTTTGCAACTTCCACCTGCTATAGAACCTGAACTGCAAGCAGGGCTCACTGAAACCAAAAGCAGGGCTTGAGAAGTCAGTCACAAGAGTAGGAAGTGCATTAAGTGAGTGCGCTCCCTGTTGTGGGCTATTGCACTGCCAGGACACATCCTCAGTGGCAGAACTGTTCCAGTGCAGTGCCACAGGGCACAGGCCTGTGAGACAGCAGCGCTGACGTACTCAGCTGTTCCTGGCAGGCAGCCCCTGGCCAGTGCTGGGGGCAGAGCTCTGCGAGCAGGGAGTGCCACGGGGCTGCCTGTGATGTGTGTGCCCCTCTGCCCAGCTGGGACAAACCCCCAGTGAACACTGCTCAGGTGAAAAAGGCCCAACACCATTTTTATGAAACACGTCAAATGGCTCCGTACTCAGGCTAAGTGCTTGGCAAGGAGGCATCAGGTTACTAGAAACTGTTCACAGTATTGCCTGTTTAGCTCTCTGGCCACCAGAAAATCTAATTTTTTTCTCAAAACGAGATCCAAAATCCCTGGAACATCAATACACATATACAATTATAATAGACAGGAAAAGAGAGCTTTAAGAAGAGTAGTTTCAACAAGTTTAGAATTTCTACCAACACATCAAAGACATTCTCTGACAATTCTGGAGATTTACTGGTGAGAACATGACTCAAAACATTCAAAGAGTATCCACTCAAATAATAAAGGGATTTTCTTAATACACTTTTGAGTAATAGTTAAAATGTCAGCTAGTAAAACTGTAAGCCCAGGAGATAGGTACCCCCTAAGGGCACACACAAGAGCACAGCTGGAGTGGCAGCTGGGGCACGCCAGGCCTGCTGTGCCCCCAGGTCAGCACCCTCATCCAGGCGGGGCACTCTGTGCCTGAGGCAGGAGGCAGCAAGTTCCTGGTGCGTTCCTGTCTTACACCACCAGGAAGTCACAGCCAGTTACACAAGCCCGCATTTCTGGGGTTGCAAAACTTACCATTTGGGGTCCAACATTCACATTGATTGGTCCCAAGGTTTTTGGCAAAATCTTAGTCGGAGAGTTGGTGCTGGAAACCGGCAATGTGATTACTGAAATATTACCTAAAAAGAACGGTAAAAGGAGACTTTCAAATTACTTCCTTAGTAACCTGTGAAAAACACTTTGGCAAATTCTCACACCACTCTAACGCTTTGGAATCAGGTTGGCTTTGGGTGTTCAAACTGTTGTGCACAAGCCTCTCAAAGATCTGAGCACACTGGCTTATTCAACTCCTTTCTCTGTGACAGCTTCAAATCAGGAGAGCTGGGAACCGATCAGTCAAACACCAGCCCCTGTTCCTACACACAGCCGGATCCAGCGTGGGGAGGGACGGGCTCTGAGGCACGGCCAAATGCAAGGAAGAGCTGCCACTGCTTGGTAATCCAGCGTCAGCCTGGGTCTAGCTGGGGTCATGAGGACAAGGATAGGTTCCTGGAGAGCTGCTAATGTTCTCTGGCCCTGCAGACTGAAGGCATCTGAGGTGACAGGTCCCTTCAGAGCAGCACAGGCACCAGCCCTCCTCCCACAGGAGGCAGCCGACACTCAGCTTAGCCCACATGGCCCAAGCTGACTCAGTGCTGTTACACATCCCTGTGCCCCCGTCTTTTCTCACATCACCCGTTCACCTCCACTGCCCAATTTTCTTTTCTCACTTGGTCCTGAATCATGGTCTCTTTTTTTTACGTTTTATTTTAGTATACCTGTTTTCCATGAGGTTACTGAAAAATGATAAATTCAACAAAGTAACCTCTCTGCAACAGGAAGCAGAAGCAACAGAACTGAGAGGAAAAAGGATCTTATCTTCTGTAGTTACAGCACAGAAGTAGAAAATATGTAGATTTATGTGAAGTCTCACCTTCATAAGAAATAGTCAACAAATATATGAGAAAGCCAAACAAATTGAAACTAGGATGTTCTAATGTTCTGTGTAGATTCTTTTGGCATCTGGAGTAATACTACTACTTAATATTAATTTTCCAAAAGGCAAATCTGTATCTGAAAACATCTTCAGAAGCAGCTTGCATCTCTACTCAATAAAATGAATAAATTATTCAGTCATGTAAGTCACCTAGAAAAACAAATATAAACCTCCCACAGTTGCAAACCCACTCCCTCCAGTAAATCTTTGCTCTGTTATGAAACATCTTTTGTGAGATGAAGATGAAACATCTTGAGTGCCAGAGAGCCCAAGCCAGTAATTCATTATTTACATACACTGTGTTCCCATGCTGAGCTCAAAAGAGTTCTCTCACTTGCCAGTTTTACTTTTGCTAGAGGATTTTGCCCAGGATTTCCCAAGCTGTGCCAGCATATTCCATCAAAACCTAGTCTCTCCCCTCATTCCAGGCTGTTGCCATCAATGACGTGTCACTTCCCAGTACTGCTGTAGGAATTTTCCTCTTTTCTGCTGCAGCTGAAACTTTTGACCCCACTACCTCCAAGATCAGCTCTCACACTATTTCTCCTTGTCCCTTTTCTTACCAGGGAAAAGAAATAAATTACTTTCTCTGGCGTTGACAGCGTAAGGCCACATGGCCAAGTGCAGTAAAATTGTGCAATGTCGGTTTTGGCTCCCAGCTCTTTTACCACAGGGCTACACCACAGAGCTGCCTCCAGCTGCACCTCCCAGGCTGCAAGAGGCTGTGCTGTGTGTCCATCCAGAGTGGCCATGTGGGGCTCACAGCACTGGACAATGCACAGGGCCACCCACCCCATCCAGCACCGGGCACAGCCTGTTCCCTTCCCAGCACGTGCCATGCAGCCTGGCATCCACGGGATCCATGGCATCCACGGGATCCAGCTGCACCTGAGACTGCTGAGAACACTTGCATGGATGTACTTCCCTCACACACACATGCAGACCCCTGGCCAAAGCCACACAAACCCACCAGATTCACTGAGCAGCCTGGGAAAAACCACTAATAAAGCACTAATTAGCAGCTACTGCTGCACTGTGCCTTCATTTACCCAAGGCTCCCTGGATAATGGAACACTGGCACCAGTGGGGTAACTTCAGTAAATACAAGGGTCATTCAAATGACCTGATCTTGATTTTAAAAAGACATTTGCTTACATATGGTGTGTGTTTAAATGCCTTTTTGGACAGAGTTACTGTCAATAAAAAAGATTTTCATCTTCTAATCCCTACACAAATCCCTCATTTGGCAGCAGTACTGTCAAAACAATCTTAAGAGTTGATCAAGTTTTCAAAGAAATGTTTCCCTGCCCTTGTTCTTACTTTTAATTTTCTTCATTGGCAAATATAAATATGTGGATGTGTAGATTTTAAAACACAGATAGGATGAAAAAGAACCAATTTGTTTTTGTAAGTGAGGTATTTCTTATCCACAGTGGCCAGAAAGAAAGAACAACCAAATTCTTCACATTAAGAGGTTGCTTTTTGTGTTTGTCAGCAGTTGAAAAAATAGTAAACAGAAAGATCTACCAATTACAAATAAAATATTCCTCCCTACCATTTTCTTTTTTTCCAAATAGCATCATGGTCTAGCTACTCACGTAACCTCAATTGCTTCAAATATTATTATGATACCATTATATTATTATATTTAGGAGGAAGTAGATGTGAAAAAACATTCAACAGATTTCGGCATTCAACTGAAAGCAGAAATATCATCAAACTAACTATATATACTATCACAAAGCAACTGCAAAGGCTTTAAACATGGCCAAATTCTAAATAAATGCCAAGTCTTAATAACACCCATCATTTGGGGACAAAAAAGATTACACTGATTTATGTCCTGGGGCACAAGAGCAGTGAGTACAGTGATAAGCTGAACACAATGAGACCCATCAGCCTTGAGTCACGGTAATCTCACTGCATGGATGGAAAAGGTCAGCACAGATGGATCAAACTGGAATGATTTGTATAATAATACTCAATTCTTATATAATGTTTCTCAGCAGTACTTTCAAGGCACAAAGGAGGTCAGTGTCATTATTCCTATTTACCTATGGAAAACCAAGCACATGGGAAAGAAACCCACTTAAAACTCTCATAGGGAGGCTTTAACTGCAATGCACAGAGAGCCATCCCAAACTGAGCCTCCCCAGCACTGAAGCAAATTCAGAATAAGAATCTGACTGTGGATATATATATGTATGTTTCTCTCAGAACAAAAGTGCTTTGCTTCTACATAAATTATTTTTCCATTCTTCAGTCGCCACTATTGTTGCTTCTCGGGGAGAGAAACCAGTGTTGCTATAATTTCATATTTTAAAAAACCATCATTGCTACATAACTATTATTCTTCCTGGCATTTGTGCAATAATTTTACTGGCGCACAAAAAGAAAAAATCAATTTAAATGATCTTTGGCTTCAAGCAGCCACAGATAAAGTTATTCATGTTTATGTACATGAATGTTCACATGCACACACAAAGCAGCTCACCAAACTCAGTTTAAATCATTATGTACCACCCTAAAAAGCCTAATTTCACATAAACAACATGCACTCCTATACAAATACGAAGCTAAAGAGATTTTAGTGATTTTTTTTCCTGTATAACTAAATCTGTTAGATCTGCAGCTCAGTTACAAAGATGATCAGAAACAATGTCAACTGGAGAATCTATAGAATCTGTCACAGCCAGTTTGAAGGAGACCATGGCTGATGGGGAGCATAGCCCAACCAGCTGGGGCTACACACAAAGCTTACATCAACAAAAAAACCCATTGAATTTTCAAACAAAACACCAGCAAAGTGGTGGTAATTTGGATTTGATATTCAGAGCTCTAAACAAATGTCCACTTTTTAAACGTGTCTCCATGAACAGCCATTTTTAATAATACAGCCTACAGCTTGACAATGATGGCAAAAACCCCAGCTCAGAGCTGTGAGGTATCATCAGCCCATTAGGATATTATGGAATAACATATGTGATGTGTCCTCAGGGTCCTCTATTACACTAAGACAGATCAGTAAATTTACTGATCTCCAAGATCAGTATGGTAAAAGCATATAAAAAAATGGAATTATTATTGCATTATTGGTACAAGTATTTTCTTGGTACATTTCTTTGTGTATTGCACAAAATTACTGGGCTACAAATCTAAATTTAAAAATTCCATAGAGATGAAATCAAAGAGATCTGTTTCTAAGGAAAAAATAAAATGGGGCAGACAGTTTTTCAATGTACTTCAGGCTTACACTGAGCAGTACAATTTCAGTCTTTTACTGTTCATTTTGAGACAAATCTACAGGAGTTAACAGCTGTTTGAATCTGAAAGTACCAGGCACAGGCCTATGGATTACTGCTTCTGATGTCTTGGTCATTTTAGCAGATCTCTTCAGGCATACAATGAAGTACTTCTCTTACAGCAGCCCTGTGCAGTAAGTTTTTAAAACACCAGTCCTGTCAGGACTTACTGTGTAATAGAAAGATGCATTGAAATGAAGTTCATTGTGAAGTTATCTTAGGATTCCCATGCAAAGCCAGCTCTCTATAACTGTGATGTGATTCATGGAGCCTTTGCAAGATTGGTGCTCTGTGGCTGGACTCCCTTTACCCTCCACAGCAGTAACCAAGGAACAACATGTAAACTCATAGGAACTGGGACTACAGTAACAAAGAAGTATTAACTAAGGGCAGCAAGATTCCTGAAAACCTTTGTGTGAGTGTACATCACCCATGTTAAGGTAAGAATCCTGTAGCTATGGCCCCAGCAGCAGCAGATGTGCCCAGCCCCAGCAGCCTCTCCTTCCCCCGGACACGGCTGTGCCCTGCCAGGCCCCCTCTGCTGGGCAGGGCAAATAACAAACACACACCACAATGATCTTTTTGGAAAGAAAAGAAAAATGCAACTTTTTTTTTTAAGCAAAAATTTCTGGACCTTGAAATCTGATGCTTTCAAGAAGGTCTTTATTAGAGCAAATGGCCTCTCTCCTTTGTTTTTGAACATATCATAAATCCATCATGCCTCAGTCTAAGGGTATTATGAAGGCACATTATAAGTAGGCCCAGGTATGTAGCAATAAATTGTCTTTATTTTTATTATAGCAAATGATTTAATTTAAATAATGTATATTTTTAAAAAAGAACCAAAAAAACCCCCAAACAAACAAGCAAAAACCCACCACGAACAAAAACCCAAAACCAAAGAAAAACCCAAAGAAACCAAACTGCCTTTACAAGGAAACTCACACAGCCCTGTTAAGAGACAGTGGATCTGAATGCCTGTTTGGAGTTTTCCCCCCTCCATAATGTCGAGGGTTTAACAGTGGACATGCCAAAAGAAGTAAAGGATATTTTAAACTGAAAGTAAGAGACAGCTTAGATACTGGCTGTATCTGCACAAACTTCCCCAGCTTTTATGAGATATTTGATGTTCTAAGAACAGTAATCCATTGTGAACAAGATGCTTTATTTCAATAGAGATGGCAACAATTTCTAACTATACCTCAAGGTTAAAAAAAATCATCAGATCATAACATTTTAAAAAAATTCCAAAATTGAGGCAATAATGCATCCATCATCCCAGAAGTAAAATCTGATAAAAAGTGGGATATGGGTCACTGGGATATTCCTAACAGTAATGACCCATGCTTTATAAAGTTATTCAGTTATTTTCTGGACAAATCAATTGCTTGTTTCAGAAATTATTTGAAAATGTTGCACTTAGTCTATTTCCCTAGCATCACAACACAATGACAAAACAATGAAGCACAATGTGCAATAAATAATTCTCAAAGGCCTCCACCAGTTTGTCATGTTCTGAAAAGTTTAGAAAACTAGGAAGATACTGTAGCTCCAGCCATTTTCTGTTTAGCTGTCTCAATTTTTCAGCCTCTTAGGTTTGATGGCATCAGCCAAAAATCAACCTTCCTGCTACTACATGCATGGGATTATTGCAGTGGATAACAGCAAACCAGTATTTACTTAGAAAGGTTGATTGAAATGTTTCCTGAACTGCAAATCCTTGAGTCTTCTAAAATAAATAAGGGGGTTGTTTTACTGGAATACCATAGCTGTTATGACTGATCTTAAATTGTTTTTGAGTCAAAAGTGATTAATCTAAAAGTGCTAAGATAAAACAGGACAGGACAAAACAAAATCATTATTGTAAATAGTGCAGAACATTTAGAAAGAAGTATGACATCATGCTTTAGCCTTCTCTGTCATTTCTGTCACAGAATCAGGGAATTTTAAGGGTGGGCTAGAAATCAGGAAATTTAGCATATTATTCACCATCGAGGAATGAAAAAAGTGCTTATGTTATCCTCTTATTGTTTTTATTACACCTTCTTTTCTCCTCTGAAATCCTGAAGACCTTCCCATCTTTGTACTGACACTTACATGTCAGTATTAAACAACTGCTGGTGGGGATGTATGAAATATATTTTGAACATTTAAATTCTGAGTATTCCAAATGTGAATCAATCATATATTGCAGTAAAATAAGTCTCAATGTATGTATTGAATAGAATTCTCTTACCTTTTGTTGGACTCTGGTTCTGATCTATAAATCCTTTCAAGTCTCCATTTGTGGAAGTCACACCAACCTGAACAAAACATTTACAAAGTCTTAAAATATGATAAACCTTTCTATGTTTTCTAATATGCAACTAACAATATTATGAGAGCAACTTTCTGCATTATGAAACATCACAATCCTATGGACAGCAGAGTCTAACAAGTGCATGAGACTCAAGGCAAGGTATCCAGGACATTTGGAAAGTCTACTTTTAGCTAAGTTGTTACCTAAAAACCACCCTGAATATTCTGACTGTGTACTACATGTGACCCAAGCAGCCCATTCTGGCTATTATGGTATAAGGCACCATTCCCTCCAAGCCAAAGGGAGCAGCTGCCACCGCTAACACAGCAGAAATCTGCCCATGTCCAGTTGCCTCAGCACTAAGCTGCACAGTCTACAGGTATGAGATGTGACTATTGAAGCATTCTAAATACATTCCCTAGTCTTCAGAGATACACTGATTTACTGAGGGTAAGTTACTGGGGACATGGAAAACTTGAATCTTATACAGAATAGTGCAACTCAGACTTTAGCATGCACACAAAGCATAGGAAGGTGTAGTTTGTACAGAAAAATACAAGATCATCCTGGATGAGGAAGGGAAGAGATGGGAAGTCCCTTGTATACCAATCTGTTTTTAAAATATTATAAAATTTGAGTATTTCTGTAAATCATTGGGACAAAGGCTTTCACTATCCAAGTTAAAAGAAGGCAATCATATGATGAAGGCTCAAACATTTTGCTTTATTTTACAGATGTATGTAGCAATAATGGAACCTATGCTAGGGCCACTTCAAGAATTTTAATATACTCCAATCACAGCATAATTTAATTTTAGGTGAATTAAACTTAACTAAAATAAACTACACAAGACAAAAGAATATCTACTATAAGCATTCAGTCTCTCAATTCTTATTAGAGACCTTGCATTCAGCAGATAGTTTTTGCAGGGGAAAATCTGCACACAGCATTGTGACAGGCTCTTGAGAATGCTTCTACTAAGATTTTTTCCCCATCAGGAGACGCGTACGAAGATCAGCTGCTCCTGCACTACTGTGATTGTAAAACACTGCCCAAATGAGCTCACTTGTGTGCTCCTATAAACAAACACCTCGAGATGCTCAGCACAGCCCTCAGTTTATCCCAGGCATTGTCACATGGGACTGGCTCCTTCCTGCCCCTCCTGGCACGCCCAGCCGGATCCTCCTACACTGGCAGGCGCTTGTGCTGCTGTGGTGTCCCCAGAGGCTGTGTCCAAAGGGGCTGTCCCATCTTCCCTGCCACTCCCGGGCTGTCTCCCAGCAGGTGGCACCGGTGCAGCAGCGATGCAGCAGGGCTGGGGAGGGCCCGAGCAGGAACGCCCGGCTTGGAGCAGGGCAAAGGGAGGAAGACAAAACAAACCACAACGTCTCCTTAGCACGGTTTGGAAGCAGATCCAGGAAAAGAGCAGGGCTCCAGGATCTCTTGTGCATGGGCACAAGGAACACTCGTGTGGTAAGAGGCCACTGTGGCTGCTCACACTGAGGATGTGTTCCTGGGGAGATGTTTGACCAGAGGCTGGCACGGTGGGAACTGCACGGCGTGAGGCACTGCCAGGCCCAGCCAGGGGGAAGGGGCTGCACTGCTGGCCCACACCTCTGCTGCCTTCACACCAGCAACAGTGCCAGCTTCTCCCAGGACCCCTGCCTGCCTCTGCAGCAGCCACAACAACACAAATGGGAGAAATTTTAAATTCAGGGAAACAATAGGGGCCACAGGGATAAATATCATGTTAGATTATGGGCCTCAACTCATTCCAAGAGAAGGGATTACATGGAACATCTTCAAAGACAGCATTGAAATTTGTTCACAATTGAACATTCAGCTCTAGATCTACAATTGTACATTTCCCTATTAATTCACATCAGTCTTTTAATCAAACACTGAAGATGACGTACATATACAGTGTCAGAATGAAAATGCTAACTTCTACATTTAATTATCTGAAAGATTTTGTATGTTGTACTTTAGTGATCGAAATGACACAAAATTACAGAACTTTAGTTTGCACAGAAATATGTTGTTTTCATTACAATGATCCTAGTAGCACATTTATAAAGAGCAGCACTTTTCTCAATTTTATAATCCTTGTATCTAAGTTTAGAAGACCTTGAAAACAAACTTGAATTTCATGAGAACTGAAGTGAGAAATGTGGCAGATCTAAAGGAATTAGTTTCTCTGCAGAAGAATGATCCTAACTAAGTCCTCAGAAGAAGCAATGTGTGATGCAACATGACAATACTGCTGCACAGCAAGGCCTTTATACGATTCCATCTCAGTGTTCAAGAGGTCCCAGGCCATGTTGTTATCTGACACAGATCACACACTGCTTTTGGGAATCTCATACTGTAACAACCCCTAAGCTGAAACCAGTATGCAATCCAATGCGTAATGGGTATCATTTGTTACTTTCTGTACTACTCCTGTGGTATTTCTGCTTTATAAGGCTGGCCCAGAGTGTCTGGATTGCTGGGCATGGCAGGAGCTGGACTCCTGCTTCTGTTCATCCGCAGCACAAGGAATGCAGCCCCGGTGGAAGATGAAGAAAGGACTTGGCAGGCCTTTGCACACTACTAAATATCTTAGAGGTTTGTTTGCCTTTCCTGTTAGGTGACTAAGTTTCCAAACAGGGTGAGGGGAAAGAAAGAGTCACAGGCAGAGTCTTGGATGGGGCCAAGTGCCACGAGCAGCTCTTGTAGCTCCTCTTGACTGCTTGGCTGGAGTCTCTGTGACCACCCTCAGCAGTTAAACTTCCTTCCATGCTGACATGTGAAAGGAGAATATCATAGCACTTAACTGACCTTATCTATGGCAAGACAGCCACCTTCTGAGAAGCACTGACTAACTTCACAATCAAAACCAACAGTCTTATTCAAAAAACTTGCTGAAGTTGTATCACTCATTTGTTTGAATAAATGAAACTAAAAACAAATTTACCATGAGTATTTGCTCTTTTTTTCTCCATTTTTTGTTAATACTGTTTTAGTGTCTTTTTCCCTGAAGGACTGATGGGAAATGAGATACAAAATAGACAAGAAAAAAACCCACATTTTACATATAAGTAAAGAATGAAATAACCCAGTTGGACAGGGTGATCTGGGTACAATGTGTATGGTAAGCACATAAACATCTTCTTTTCCAAGAGAACCTGCAACATTTTATTATTCATAGGTACTTTGGTCGGATTAGTTTTCTAAGGAAGGTCAAATTACCCACAAACAATATTCCACAAACAGATACCAGAAAGGGTCCTCTGTTTAAAGAAAATGAGCAGTGAGCCCAGCCTGGATAACCACACACTCAGAAGGAAGGAAAAACGGTGACGGGGAAGGTTTTTCATCTTGCACACACATTCCATCTACAGGAACGTTCTGGCACGAGCTTGAAGCACAAGCTGCCTTGGACAGGAGGTTGTCCACCACAGCTTCTTGCAAGGTGGAAAGCCATTCCAGGCACAGCTCGCTGCACGGGGCTGTGATGCAGCAGGAGCACAGACATGCCCAGCTGAGGAGCAGTGATTGCAGAAAGCAGAGGTGGCAGCTTCCTGCTGTGCACATTTGACAGAAGATACGTGTCCTTCAAGAGTTTCCTGGAAGATGCTCAAATTCCAGTACTTTAAAATTTCCTTTCCTTGATGCTTCAACATAAAGGAAAATGATGGAAGTACTCTCACAAGGAATCTCACTCCCTCAACTCACTCTGCAGATCACTAAACCATTTCTGACACTGTAACAAACACTAACCTTACATTTGAAACAGGTTTCCAGCTGCAGAAACCCGCAGGCATATACAGAATCTAAACCCTGCAACTCTGCAAATTCAGAAGCATTATGGCCTTCTAACAGCACCAGGAAACACCAGGGCTGGCACTATTCTAACCAGAGCAATTCTGAGTAACCAAGGCTGGGAAAACCCTAAGAAGTGCTACCAATGACACAAAGCATACGACCACCACAGGTAAACATGAAAACTGAGTCCTACGTTCATCTGCACCACAGTAGCTGATTTTTTAAAAACATAAACCCATAAATATTAGGTATTTGACTAGGTTGGCATGATTTTTGACATGAAAAATTTCAAAGCGTGCATACCAATTAAATATTTCTTCTCTAAAGTAACCACAGCATTGTACTGAAGTAAGCAACAGAATTATATTTCTATATTCAGAACAAGAGTAGGTTACCCAGAGTGAATGTCATGTCTGTCCTCTGAGATTTTCAAAACCCAAAGCCCTGATGGAGCCCTGAACAAAGCACTGAGCAACTGGGCTCCAGTGTCAAAGAGCTTTACACAAAACACCAGAGTAAATGGCCTCCTGAAATCCCTTCCAGCCTGTGCCACTCTATGACTATTACACAGCTCTCCATGGATTTTATTGGGATTGCTATTTATCCTTTGACTGCATCAAACCAAAGGTCAAAGCCACAAATGACCTGGATTTGTGCAGCTGTCCCACATACATCAGTAGAATTACTTATTTGTACTAGAGATGAACATGACCTATGAAATAATAAGCAAAGGGCTTTGAATATACACATACACACTTTATGTCTTGGTAAGCTTGAATCAAAAAGTGAGATATAAGATACCTCAAAGCCTGGAACTACACACCAAATAAAGCTATTAATAAAGCCAACAGAAATTTCCAACATTTGAGAATTAATTTAACCAAACGATCACTGGCACCAATCTAACCCAATATGCACAAAAGATTTTGCAGTTACTGAACAGAGCACATTCCTAGGCTCCCTGCACTTTCATTGTGGGCACTTTGGTGGTGTTGGTTCCTAAACCCACTCAGATTTAACTAGAATGCAGGATGTCAACAGGCAAATTGCCCAGGGCCCAAAGTCATACTCAATTCACTGATCACCAGGATTAATCAGAACTGTTCTCTGTACAAGCTGTGTACCTCAGGAAGCACAGCTAATTAGGCAGAAAATTAAGGTCAGGATGTTAAGACATTTCATAAGCTTCCTCAGAACTCAGGATAGAGGAGTCAAATATAGAGCCTTGAGACACCACTACAGGCTGGGTCATGAGCAAGCAAAGGAACAAGACGGCCTCCAGTCTTCTAGAAACCAAGAGTGTACCAACAGCAGCCAAATAATATGCAGTCTTTCTATTTTTTCTTGAGATCTGAGACTGAGATCTGAGACTCAGACCCTGTAGAAGGATTTTACAGACACGCAAAGGTGAGAAGATTCAACAAAATGTGCAGCTTTCACATAAGTTTGAAGAAATGTTAGAGAAATCACTGACTCATAGAATATCCCAAGGTGGAAGGGACCTGAATGGATCAATATGAAAACAGCATAAAACATTGCCTCAGTTATCAGTCTGACCAACAGCTGAGTAAACTCCACATGCTTAAAGAGCTTCCAACCAGTTTAAATTTATAAAAATACTGCAGAAGATGATGGGGTACAGATTTTTGGTACACAAAAATCAGATAAGATACATGAATTTGAAGGTCTTTGTGATTGACTTTTTATATTTTTCCACACAATTCTGAAAGTCAGCAGTGACTGGCAGAATGCCAATATGAAAAGTCATATACATTGAAGAGTTATACTTACATTTTTTGCCGTCATGTCAGACAGTATTGCTTTATATTTCATAAAGCCATAAGATGTCCCTTTTCATCTTCACATAATCTTTAAAATGAACATCCTGTAAGACAGTTAATGAAATATCTTAGTTGAAACCCAAGCTTCTGCTAAAATAATCAACACTATAGTCAGGTTCTACAGACATACTAAAATAAAGGCCTGACTATTATTAGTGTGCTAGCAAACCATGTTATATCATTACTAAAGTTTTGTAATTAAAACCATGAAAGTTTTGCATTTAATGCAGATTGGTTTTTAAAATGGAGGTGAATTATGTCACTGTCTCTTTAGCCAGAACAGAGAAGGCATTTAATGAAATGTATATAGGCAGAAAACATTCAGAATTTTTAGGAAACATGCAAGAAAAAAAACTATTAATTTCTAACTCATCTTTTAAATATTTTCATTTTTTTATTAAACCTGTGTAGTTAGAATTATAATATTAGCATTCCAGAAAAAGATAAAAATTTTGATACACCAAAAAATAGTTTAAAGTGACTTATTCTTTAAATGAAAGCTTCCAGAAGCCTTACAGAAAACAGAAGAAAAGTTACAAATCAATGCTGTCAGCAGAAACCATTTTAAAGATAGAATTAACTTGACAAAGCATTTAGGTACCTTGAAAAGTACTTTATAAGTACTACTTGCAGTTTAAAAATGGACTACAAAGGACATTCAAATTGCATTTGGATGAATAAAAGAGAGAACTGTTCACACTCTGAAGTGTGGAATCAATTCAGTAAAATTAGGAAGATCCCTAAACTACTTATCAAAGAAAAGTCATGACCATTTGCAGCAGAACTCATTAGCTACAAAAGTGGGATGCAATTCATGCCATTTCCTCTATTTTAACCCGTGTCAAGTTTGAGAATGGCCAGTGTCTTCACCTCCCTTCAGGAAAGTGCCAGGGGTTCTTTCAGCAATCTGTGCAACTAATGAGGAACTCCACCATCACATCCCATCACTGCTTTAGTTGTTTTGGATAACCCAGAAGAATTTTAAATTCTAGGCTGTTTCTATACATTTCTTGATTTATTCAGACATCATATCAATTAAACTGTTAGTGGAAAACCGTTTTATTCAACTTAGAGGTGTCCTCCACTTCCTGCTGCCTGAGTTGTACTTGTCTTCCTTGGTGCCTCCCTTCACTGCAGCCATAACTGAGCAGTTGCTCCAGATGTGAACACCACACATATCTACTAAGACATTCTCCTGTGAAAACTTGTACATTTTAGTTTCACCTCACAACATCCAAGGAAATAATACAAATTTTTCTCTGGCTTTAGAGAAGATACTACAAAGAGGTATCTATTCCCACCCTGGGAAAAGGAGCTACTGGATCTGGTAGTAATCCTGAAACCTGAAGCCATAAAGCTACAGGGGTCATGGCAAGGAGCAAATACTGAATTCTTGCAATGCATCTGAAAATTATGATCTTTGGTGCCTGTTCTTTTTCGACATTTCTGACCCCTGCAGATGAACTCTCCAAATCCATCATCTGGGGCTCTGGCCAAAATTCACATTGCAGTCTGGCCTCCCTCTCTCTCTTTAAGAGGCTTTACAAGTAATTTACTCAAATAAAATGCAGTTAAGAACATAATTGCTGAGCAGTTTTAACTTATTTGCAGATAAGCAAACGAGGTTCATCTTTGACAAGTTATTTGCTGTCAAGCTTAATGATCCAGAAGGTATTGTCCATAAACTATTACAGTCCTTTGCCACAATGCTCTTCAGCCAGTAAGAACAGTTGGGATTCTTCCAGCTTTATGAACACATTTTGTCAAGCCTGAGAAGCCAGACTTTGTGACCCCACCATCTGCCATGACCTCTTGTCAGGTTCAGACAAAAGAACCGACACAGATGGCCTCAAAATGGAGATTTTCTTCATTCCCAGTTGCTGCATGTGCTTGCACCACACAGACAGAAAAACATAAAACTCAATCTTTTTTCTTCTTTAGCTGGTTTCTACTGAAATGAGGCTGCATAAAGACAGAGCCCAGAGCACATGAGACACAAAGATTGCCTTTTTTTGAACTACATTTGTCCCTTCATAAGCTAAGCCTTGGTTTATAATCCACTCCCCCAAATTTGCCTTTTGGTCATATACTGTACGGCACAAGGAGCCAATCAAACTGTCTGACTTTGTAAACTCTGAGTTGTAGCTTCTTTTAGAATATATTTGCTAATTAATCACTTATGCCACTGATATTAAAAAGCCAGTTTGAGCATTAAATTTACAAAAGCCCAGGTAATTAAGCTCTAGTTACAGCAAAAACAGTACAGGAGTTTTATCTGTACCTAATCCAACTACAAGTTAAAAGCCAGACCTATTCTGAAGTTTTGGTGATTCTGACGCTGAGTCCCAGTGCAACAAACAGTGCAAAACAGAAAACAGTTATCTGCAGAATAACATTGTACTCCTTATGTTTATTTTCTAGCTATTATCCAGTCTTATTTTTAAATTACCCCATAAGACAACATAACAGTCTGTTCTCTGCTTTAACAAACTTACCCTGGTTTCTCTTCTAAAATTTTATCAGTACAAGTCACACCCTCACCTAGAGCAGCACCATACAAAGATCCTCCTCAGTGCCAGAGGCCAGTTCCCAACAGAAAGTGCCATTTATGCAATATTACATCAGTACTAAACATCTACAAATGAACACAACTATTGGACAATCACCTAAATTGTTATGATGAAAAGTCTTTACAGAACACATGAAAGATAAAAAAGAGATATTTTAGTATATTAGAATGATTTTTATCACCACTAAGGAGTGCTTTTTCTCATTTACCTGATAAATAGTATTGCAAAGTGAAAATTATTCCAGGTAACTGGGTCAGCTAAGAGGAAAGTGTGATGAGTTTCAAGAAAAAGAAACCTGTATAACATCAGCCTTTCCACAAGAAAGTAATTTACACTCTTCATATCCCTCTCCATAGTACTAACTTTCAACTATTACAAGACTGATTTCAGAAGACAGCAGTAACAAAAAGACTCCTTATTAATCAGTACAGGCTCAGTTTTAAACCACTAATTTATGCACAGCATCTACAAGGCTTAGACCACCTGTTACACATATGCTGCTTCAGTATGTCTCAAGTTTTCAGATCAGTAAAATTTCAGAATTATTAAGTACTTATCATAAATCCACCTGTTCCCAGGAAGTGTTTCTCCAGCTTGTTCCTAAAACATGCTTCAATATCTAACTCCTTTTTGAAAAAAAAAAAAAAAAATTAAAAAAAACCAAGATAGGAATCCCATATAACATCCAGCTTGCCACTCAATGAAGCTCTTCAAAAAAGCCAACCAATGTATTTATTCTACAAGCCACACACACAGGATGGGAAAGAAGTCACCACCTTCACCTGTCACACAGTAATTTTTATTTTGAAAATAACATTAGAAAGTAGCTCTAAGGAAGCCTTTGAAAGGAAATGCCAGCATGATGTGTATGATGAAGGTCTAGCAGGTATCACGACTTATTTTTCCACTCTGAACAACTCTATGCCTTCAAAAAAGTCCTAGTAGATAACAAAGTAATTAGAGAGACTGAAGCAAGCCTAAGTGATTTGACCACTGAATGATATTATGTATTTTCAACAAAATAAAATAATTTGAGATTATTCAGTTTAAACTGACATTGTTTAATCACCTTTACTTGAGTTAAAAGGCTGCAACCTGCAAATCCACAGCACAGTTCTCCCAGCTATACAACACAAAAAGGAGATGAGAATTACTGCTTTAAACCTAGATCCAAATGAAAGACAAAACTACCTGAACCCAAACTGAAAGTGAAGATCTCAACATGTAGTTAAGATCGAGCAAAATGCCAATGTATCATCAGAAAAAATTAACTGACACCTCCTGGCAACAGCAGTAATTATGACTCAAGTTTACACAGCAGAAAGAACTTGGAAAAACAGAAGAGGAATTCCTGCAAGTTCAAGGAGCATAAACTGTAGCACTTCAGCTCCATGAGGGGGAACAACCAACCTGTGTGGTGCTAAAAGCAAATGTCCACTCAAGGACTTAATGTAGCAAATACTGAGGCAACAAATGAATTGGATCCCATTCAGTGCTCTCGGAGTGGATCCCAAATGCTACATCCCAATCACTCCCACTATTTGTTGTATGTACTCACTGTTGTACCTCTTATTTACTACAATGTACATAGTATATGACTGTACATGGATACATGACTAATAAAAGCACTGTTTGATGGAGGTACTGAATATCCTGAATCCCAGTGATGAAGACAGTCCGAGTGCGAAGAACACGTAACACGGGAAGAAAATCCAAAGCTGGATTCAAACTCTCTCCTAGCTGAAAGTGCTCCAATTCTCCATTCAGTAACTGCACTGCTGACCCTCAAGTTCTGCTGCTTGCCCAGTGCTGACAGTGCTGAGTCCCCAGTTCCAGTAACTGGACCTGGGTGCTCCTTCCCTCCAGGACTCAGTTTCTTAGGCATGTTCCTAGACACGCTCAATGCCAGCACCAGCACTGAACCACACGTCTAAGAACAGGGGCAGCACTCATGGCTTCCTTCAAAATCACTGGGGTGAAGCATGTCTCTTATTGTCCAAATAAGGAGAACTTTACATTAAACACATGGAGTAATTCCCAAGCACTTGCACCTTGAAGGCTCTTCTAATTCCCCAAGCAGGCTTACTGTCATTCAAGATAGAGTACACGGGGCCTGACATCAGCACTTAAAGCATGATCTAAAATGTCTTTTTGAGATTTACAGACAACTTTTATCACTACCAAGATAAATTTGGGAGTAAGAGAAATTTAGCTGCAAGGCTTTTTTTTTTTTTTTTTTTTTTTTTTTTTTTTAAAAAAGCAGACAATCTATTCTATAAGCTCATTTTTTTGTGCTCTCACTGGGTTTCTAGCCCATAGCTGACTACTATACAGGCACAACATTTGGGAGTCTGCTGCTTCAGTAGTAAGAGGCAGGTACAACTTCCTTTCAGAGCAAACAGCACACTGTATTTTCACAAACATATTTTTGCCTGAAGAAATTTCACTTTCACAATGGATTGACATTTGAAAAA